GAAATTAACATTCAATTCTCTGGCAAAAGTTCTGGTGGACATTCCTGCAGTCAGCATGCCAATTGCACGTTCCTTCAAAACTTGAGACATCTGTGGCATTGTGTAGTGTGACAAAACTGCACATTTTAGAGTGGCCTTTTATTGTCCCCAGCACAAGGTGCACCTGTGTATTGATCATGCTGTTTAATCAGCTTCTTGATATGCCACACCTGTCAGGTGGATGGATCATCTTGGCAAAGGAGAAACGCTCACTAACAGGGATGCAAACAAATTTGTGGGAAAAATTAGAGAGAAATAAGCTTTTTGTGCAAATTGACAATTTCTGGGATCTTTTATTTCAGCTCATGAAACATGGGACCAACACTTTACATGTTGTGTTTATATTTTTGTTCAGTATAGTTTCTGCCAGCTAAAGCTAGCAACATATCTTCATCAAGTAATGTTAGCCTATCAAAACGGAATGATTACCCCTCTAATACAAATATAGACCCTTTTCCAGTACACGACACACTGACGTCACGCACAGATACGCGCGACTTCTAAACAAAATCACTTTTTGGGGTTCTCATACGCTTACAATTATGTTTTGATTCTTGCTTGAACAGTCTCTAAGATTATATTTGGTTGTGATCTTTACAAAATAACTATTTTGGATGCAGCAGTTGTTAGCTAGAATGCTAACACTCATTGATAGAGGCTGTAGCGAAAGCTAGCCAAAGACCCATTTTACTGGTTGAAGTGTTTTTTAAAGTATAATGCAGTTGAGTTGCGATGATGACACAAACATTATATTAAGCAGGACATTCATACGAGCCTTAAAATCCTTTATAATTCAAAAGTAGTGTGAAATGCACTCAAGCTTTTTTTGCTATCGTTCTATAAGAACTCCCCCTTGTTCTGCCAGCAACTTGCGTGCATCGCCCTCGTGCAGCAATGTTAGCAAGCACAGAAAGAAGTCTATAAAAGTAGAGTAGGCCTACCTTACAACATTACAACAAAACATGCTTAATTTTTTTTAGAAATATCATGCAAATCATTAGGCTACATGTGGTAAAAGCAAATTGCAACGGAAAACGTGGGTACAATTCACCAAATTGAGATGAGCTGTTTTATATGGAAGCCCATTCCCGCCACCCAAAAATAAAATACACGTAGATCATACATATAGGTTATGTTTCTTCATTTGTAGCATTGTGTGGCGATTTCCATCTATCCACGTTGCAGAGATCAGCACAACAAGGCCGCCGGCAAACGTGTGGAGAGCTGGGATTTGCCCCAGCACTTTTGATTTGGTTTAATAAAAAATATTGACACAAAAGCCTTGAAAAGAGGGACAAAGTACTGTTGTTTAGACTAATTCGCCTCATGATTTGTTTGACAGGATTTTAATGTTTTCATCCTCCCTAGGGCCAGGAGTTTTTCCAGGAGTTCTTTCAAAATCATATGACCTGAATAGAAAAAACCTGGTCTCATCATAGCCCATATAAAACCGTTTTTTACAGCTGAATTATTACTATGTCATACCCAGAGTTTTACCTGGTTAGGTTAGCCTACCAGATCAGGAAAAACTCTGGGCCCCAGTAACCCCCACCACCACTTTGGGACCTGTGGGGCCACCTCTGAAATAACCACACAATGTTACAAATGAAAAAACATTATATTTGTATGATCTACTATCTAAAAATGTTGACTTGCGTATCTATAAATGTTGACTTACATATCAAAAAATGGGCTTTGATAGTTTTACGTGGCTTAGTACAGCCGGCAGGCGGCAGCTACTGCGACAATGTAACGGGCTGTTACTGCAATTTAAGGTAAAAACTCAATATAAGGAAAATGTCTATACATTTCATGTTTCAAAAACATTGCTCTGCTATTACCATTTATACTGTAGCAGTGTTGAGCTCAACAAGACAATTCTGTTTACACTTCCCTGATCCTCTCTGTTTACACTTCCCTGCTCGTGCTCGGAGGGGGGCAACTATCGGGCGAGTGTCGTGTCTGACCTCCGGAGGTAGCGCTCGAGACGTGAAAATTTTGCACGTTTACACAACAGTATTGTCTCTCGAGAACCTCTCGAAAATGTCCCTTTGCTATCGTCAATGTGAAAAAGGTCATAGATCTGCCAGAGGTTAACTCTCTGCTTGGGGGGAACGTGTGAAGTGTTGTGTGTGTTTATTGTAGGTCTGTTTGAAACCCTGCCTGGCCCAGTGCAGTGTGAGATGCTGCTGAAGGCCACAGAGCAGTCTTTCAACACCCTGGAGAAAGCTGAGATGCTCCTGCTACTGCTCAGGTGCTTCCCAGAGTCTGTGGTCCAACACGGGGTACGTAACCTCTCAACTTTGACCTTCACCAACTTGTCCATAACACAGAATAATTTATTTGTAGCTTTGTTGGCACTCTCATTCTAGGTCAACCTGGGAGAGTCCCGGTTGAAGGTGGAGACGGCTGAAAAACTGGAGACGCCTGTCAACTGTTTCAGGAAGCTGTTTGGTTTCAGGAAGCTGTTTGGTGAGAGAATTCTCTGAGTCAAATTATCAAAACCTCTAACATTTAAAAACTATGAAAACTGTATGTGGGGAAACATGTTGTTTCCTTGATGTTGTGTAATTTTATGTTTTATCATTGATACATTTGTGTTTTCTCAGCTGTTGCTGTAGAAGTTTGGAGAAAAAGACACATTATCAAGTGTCTGATTTATAAAATGATTAACGTGAAGAAAACGTTAGAAAGGGTTTCTTTCTCATACCCACCCATTGTCTGTGTTCCTCTGCCCTGTAGGCACCACACAGTGACGCGTGGCATCACTAAGGGGGTGAAGGAGGACTTCCGTCTGGCTATGGAGAGACAGGTGTTACGCAGCGCGGAGAACCTGTATACTGTCCTCCACCGCTTCTGTATCAATGAGAAGATCATCATCATCATCCAGTCCCTGCCCTGACCTCTGACCCCTTCACCTTTGACCCTTGGACATCTGACATTTGAACCAGTTAAGACCCGGAGCCCTGGCTCATGGTTCTAATGTCCACAGTGAAACCCTGGTCGCTGTGCCTCTTGTGTGCCCAGAAGACCATCGTCGTCTTCCATCAGACCTGACAATTGAACTCCGGACCCCTCAACTATGACCAAATAACACATAATTAGAAAGAGATTCCTTGTTTCCCTCTTTCTAGGCTTTATCTATGGTGCTAATGTTACTCACGAGCATAAAATCTTCTGTACTTGTACTACTTGCCTTAATATTAGATAATGACTTTCAAAGGATGTATTCGGTAACTTGAGAAGGTTCTGTACTTGGGGAGGATTCTGTTTCTGGGGATACTTAACAGGGATTGGTCTACTGTGTCTGTGGTATTTGCTCTCTCTCTGCCATTGGCTATCTTGATACCTTTTGTTTATTTTTCCTTTTTGGATCATTTTGTGTTGCCTGTCTCCCCAAACTCTTTACTCTGGCCAAATTCTATGCCACGCCCACGGACATTAGTTTCTTCTCCGCAATGAGACTGGTTTGAGTACCTCCACGATGATTTCTAGAATGGATTGGTCCCAAAAACCAATGGGTTGGGCCAGAGCCAGAACACACGTGGGTAAAACAGTGTTTGAAAATTCGTCATTGGCTTTGATACTCAGATTGGTTAGAGATGATCTAATCGCTGATGACTGTTTTGTACAACACCCCTCATTTTGACGTCACCACAAACGACTTCAATGATGGCCGTCTCAGACTGAAGTATGTAGCGAATGATAGAGCAGCGTAATAATTCATTTTGTGTCATCATGCGACATTTTATGAAGTGTATATAAAAAAATAGGTTCTAAATAATTGTGAGATTTTTGGAAAGTTGACAAATGTGAGCGTATTTATGATATTGTTAGATAACATTTTATTGTTTTTATTTTGTATAAAGCTGTAGGAAAATAGATAGTTTATATGAATTCTCCAATAAACCTGACTGGTTGGATACAACAGTTGTTTCTTGATCAATGTACTCTACATTGTATTTGATTTATCTTCTAAGGAAGTATGATTTGTAAGTTAATCACAGAAATTTGATTTCTCCACCACTCTGCCCCCCCATCTCCCCTATTTTCTTCCCCAATTTCTCTTATTTTCTCTCTTTCCCTCTCACTCATCCATGTCTCGTACAGGTGCAGTGGGCAGGTCAGCCTGCAGTGCAGCCCTGAGATTGGCCCAGAACAGCCTGTGCTTGCCCCGGTCCTGGGGCCACTCCAGATACGTGTGTCTGCCCATCATGGCCTTCAGCTGATAGTACTTGGAGGGGATCATGTACTGAGGCAGAGGCTCCAGGAGCACCAGGATCACACTGTCAGACCCACGGGTCAGCCGCTGGTGGCTGGCAAAGTACAGCTCATAGTGGCACCACTCGCTCCGGACGAAGTGGCCAGAAAGGACGAACACACAGCGCCGGCTCCTCTCCACGCATTGGATGATGTTCTCCACGATCGTCTTCCCTGGGACAAAGTCCCTCTCATGGCGGCAGATGTGGAGTCCCCCGCTGGAGCCCTCCAGGTTAGGCAAGAGCTGGCCCTTGACCCAGTCTGCATCATGCTGGCTGTAGGACACAAAGGCGTGGAACACCACCCCCTCCAGATCCTCGGGCCGGACCTGCTGGGTCCTGGCACGGTGCTTGGCCCGGGTCCACTGCCAGATCATGCCCAGGTACCACAGAACGTCCAGTTGGTGGCACAGAGTCACCATAACAATGATAACAGCCACTGCCGGGCACAAGATGGCCGTTGCCAACAGGCCGACATTGCAGGAGATCTCGGGGATCTGGAAGCCCTCCAGTGTGGAGTTCCTCCAGACTTCGGGATAGCTGCAGCGATAGGCTCCTGGCCAGTGGAGAAGTTGGATTGCAGAGTGTCCGCTGCCCAGCCCAGTCCCAGCACCCAGATCCCTGAAGCCCATCAGGCCACACGTACAGGTGAAGGGATTTCGGCTGGCATCTAGAACCTTTAGAACAGGGCAGGTCTCCAGAATGCTCACAGACGGGGCATGGAGGGAGTTCTCCCTGAGAAGGAGATACTTAAGGTGTGGGAATCCAGCGCACACCGGGAGGTCCCTCAGCCGGTTGGCACTCAGGTCCAGGGCCAGGAGGGAGTCCAGGGCTAGCAGGGTCTCTGGTACAGTGGAGATCTGGTTGTTCTGGAGGTCCAGGGTGGCGGTGCCGTTCGGCAGGCAGCTGAATACCGACTCGCTCAGCCCATTGGAGGATAGGTTCAGGTGGACAATGTTCGGTGGCCAGTGGCATTCCTGGCCGCTGTAAACCAACGAGTTGAGGCTGAGGTCCAGGTGACGCAGAGAGCTCATGTTCTGGACCCTCTTGCTCAGGGTTTGAAGGTTCTTGAGGTTGTTCCCTCTCAGAACCAGGATGTCCACTTTATTCAGGGTTGTACACTCTATAGTGACTTGCTGTTCTACTCTGGAGAAGACCGTATCAGTCAGGGCGCAATCTGATAAGTCTAACTGCAGTATTCCGCTGGGAAACTTGGGGCAGGTCATGTGTATGATGGACGTCTCAGTCATCGCCAGGCACTCCACAGGCATGTTGATGAAGAAGTTACAGAGGGATTCCAGGGAGAAGAGAAAGGTAACCACCCCCGCTCGTCTGGCAGAGAAGGATTTAGTGTGGGATGTGCCTCTTCCTGGGGTGTCAAAGTAAGGTGGATTGTGGATTGCCACGTCTGAAGTGCTCAGGTGGATGATGGGGGATTCGAACACAGCGTTTATGGTGTTTGTCAGGTCCTTCCAGGTGATGGCCATATTGGTCAGGTAAAGATGTGTGGTGTTGACTGCCCCTCTCTCCTTCACAAGTTCCACCAGGTAACTGTGGTAGCCCTTGAGGTTCATACCCATCAGCTCGACCTTGTCAAACATCAACAGGGCATCTGCGATCAGATCTCGATCGGTGGGTTTGTTCGTCAGGCCAATGCTGACCTTCTCTGCCTGGACATCACTCAGGCTGCCACTCTCATAGGCTGTGAGATTCTCCAGACGAAGGGTCAAAGTTTGCAGGTGTACGTCAGTGATGTTGATGAAATCCTCCACCCTGATGATTTTTGCTCCGAGCCCCAGTCTCACCAGCTTCGTCAGGCTGTGGAACTCCTCCCCCAGGGTCATGGTGTGGAACATGTTAAAGGTCAGATCTAGGTCTCTGATGTTCTGTGCTAACAGCAAGTACCGTTGATCAGATAGGTTCTGGAGCTGGTTGTGTGAGAGGTCCAGACTCTCCAGGAGCGGTGTGGGATGGAACGTCTCCGGATCTATATCCTCCAAGACATTCCAAGACAGGTTGAGGAACCTCAGGTGAGTTGTGACTTGGAAATCCTCATGGCCAAGTTTGTGTATGTTATTCTGGGAGAGGTCCAGGGCTTCGGTGCATGGCGGTAGGTTTCCAGGAACAGAGGATAAGTTTTTGGAGGAGAGGTTGACAATAATGGTGTGGATTTCTGAGGAGGAGGGGGTGCAGTGATGGACTCCCATTAACACAGCCACAGCCCAGAGGGTGACTGCCACAGCCCTCATCTCTGGAGAGGGACAAGAGAAAATTTAACAAACAATGTTCGTGTAAAAGAGGTAGTCTATAATATTGTGTGTCGTGTGCAGTGAATCATGATAAAATCATTGGCCTTCATTACAATGTGAATAAAGGTTTTGGTTCCTGTTTTCGATATGAATGTTATTCAACTTGCAGTGTTCTTAGGGTATTCGCAAAACAAGAGCTTCCTTGTTTTATTATAAACTCTTAAATAGACTAATTTTGGTCTATTGTACAGTACAGAAACTCACAAATGTCTTAAAAACAAGTCTGCAACACACACGCACACAGAAAGAGGACACAGACTGACCTGTCTTTTTCAGCGTCCTATGGCTTTTCAAGTGATGTGTTTGTTGAGATAATGTTCAGTCAGTCACAGTAAGTTCGTCTCTCACTTTCAGATAAATCTCTCTTTTCCTTAGTGATTTCTCTCATTCACACTCATCCAATCAACCTATCACTCTAACTCTAACACTCTCTCTGATCATACAGTAAATGTTGAGCAGAGGGGAAACAGACGTCAAACCAGGCCATTCAAATGTGCAGGCAACTTCTGTTCCTCCTTCACTCACATCGCTTTCTCACTTCCTTTTTTATTCACAGTGATGGGCAAGGAATTGAGTGCTTGACAGGAAATGAAGTTTGGCCACATGTCTGTGGATTTGGCACAGCTAGTGGCTATGATAATATATTACTCAATGTATGGCTTCATTATAAGAATATTACATAGGACATTTTAAGGTAGATCTAACTTATTGTTATATTGATTTACAAAAATGGGTAGGGTTGGAGGATATAACAACTGCATAAGACATTGGTTACACGGGCCAATTCTTTCTTTTGCAAATGGTCGGGGGGCCGGAAAATGAAAAATATATATTTTTAGACTGCAAACTGACTGCAAGAAGCCCAAACAGATATAATATTTGACAAAACATAATCATTTCAAACCTTGATTACATTTGGGGACATTGCCCAGCGTAGGGAGCCGTCTTTCTGGATGGGATGTTAAAACGGGTGTCCTGACTCTGTGCTCATTCAAAATCCCATGGCACTTATTGTATGAGTAGGGGTGTTCACCCCGGTGTCATGGCTAAATTCCCAACCTGGCCACATTCCATCATGGCAACCAAATCATCCCCCTCATTCCTAATTGGCATAAATCACTCCTCACCTCCTCACTTCTCCACCTGATAGCTGATGTGTGATGAGCGTTCTGGCACAAAAATGGTCGCTGTGCATCATTGAGGTGGGTGCAACACATTGATGGTGAATGAGGTGAGTTTCCCTCTACTATGTAAAGCGCTTTGAGTACCTCAATTGGTGGAAAAGCGCAATATAAATCCAATTGTTATTAATTGTAAACGATCACGTCTCTCTGTTATGCGTGGGAATACTTGGGAACAGATTTCCAAAATTAAAAATCCCTTGTGTTTTTAGTCTTTTATGTCCAACAAAGAAAATTCTAAAAATAAAAACAAATCACATATAGTACCAGTCAAAAGTTTGGACACACCTACTCATTCAAGGCGTGTTCTTTATTTTTACTATTTTCTACATTGTAGAATAATAGTGAAGACATCACAACTATGAAATAACACATATGGAATCATGTAGTAACCAAAAAAGTGTTAAACAAATCAAAATATATTTTATATTTGAGATTCTTCAAATAGCCACCCTTTGCCTTGATGATAGCTTTGCACACTCTTGGCATTCTCTCAACCAGCTTCACCTGGAATGCTTTTCCAACAGTCTTGAAGGAGTTCCCACATATGCTGAGCACTTGTTGGCTGCTTTTCCTTCACTCTGCCGTCCGACTCATCCCAAACCATCTCAATTGGGTTGAGGTCAGGGGATTGTAGAGGCCAAGTCATCTGATGCAGCACTCCATCACTCTCCTTCTTGGTAAAATAGCCCTTACACAGCCTGGAGGTGTGTTGGGTCATTGTCCTGTTGAAAAACAAATGATAGTCCCACTAAGCCCAAACCAGATGGGATGGCGTATCGCTGCAGAATGCTGTGGTAAATCAAATCAAATCAAATCAAACTGTATTTGCCACATGCGCCGAATACAACAGGTGTAGACATTACAGTGAAATGCTTACTTACAAGCCCTTAACCAACAATGCATTTCTTTTAATACATTTTTAGAAAAAGTATTAAATAAAACATTTAAAAAAAAAATAACTAAAGAGCAGCAGTAAAATAAAATAACAGTAGGGAGGCTATATATCGGGGGGTACCGGTGCAGAGTCAATGTGCGGGGGCACCGGCTAGTCGAGGTAATTGAGGTAATATGTACATGTGGGTAGAGTTAAAGTGACTATGCATAAATAATAGACAGAGTAGCAGCAGCATAAAAGAGGGACGTGGGGGTGGGGGGGCAGTGCAAATAGTCTGGGTAGCAATGATTAGCTGTTCAGGAGTCTAATGGCTTGGGGGTAGAAGCTGTTGAGAAGCCTTTTGGACCTAGACTTGGCGCTCCGGTACCGCTTGCTGTGCGGTAGCAGAGAGAACAGTCTGTGACTAGGGTGGCTGGAGTCTTTGACAATTTTGAGGGCCTTCCTCTGACACCGCCTGTTATAGAGGTCCTGGATGGCAGGAAGCTTGGCCCCAGTGATGTACTGGGCTGTACGCACTACCCTCTGTAGTGCCTTGCAGTCGGAGGCCGAGCAGTTGCCATACCAGGCGGTGATGCAACCAGTCAGGATGCTCTCTATGGTGCAGCTGTATAACTTTTTGAGGATCTGAGGACCCATGCCAAATCTTTTCAGTCTCCTGAGGGGGAATAGGCTTTGTCATGCCCTCTTCACGACTGTCTTGGTGTGTTTGGACCATGATAGTTTGTTGGTGATGTGGACCCCAAGGAACTTGAAGCTCTCAACCTGCTCCACTACAGCCCCATCGATGAGAATGGGGTCGTGCTCAGCCCTCCTTTTCCTGTAGTCCACGATCATCTCCTTTGTCTTGATCACGTTGAGGGAGAGGTTGTTATCCTGGCACCACGCGGCCAGGTCTCTGACCTCCTCCCTATAGGCTGTCTCATCGTTGTCGGTGATCAGGCCTACCACTGTTGTGTCATCAGCAAACTTAATGATGATGTTGGAGTCGTGCCTGGCCATGCAGTCATGGGTGAACAGGGAGTACAGGAGGGGACTGAGCACGCACCCCTGAGGGGCCCCCGTGTTGAGGATCAGCGTGGCAGATGTGTTGTTACCTACCCTTACCACCTGGGGGCGGCCCGTCAGGAAGTCCAGGATCCAGTTGCAGAGAGAGGTGTTTAGTCCCAGGATCCTTAGCTTAGTGATGAGCTTTGAGGGCACTATGGTGTTGAACGCTGAGCTGTAGTCAATGAACAGCATTCTCACGTAGGTGTTCCTCTTGTCCAGGTGGGAAAGGACAGTGTGGAGTGCAATAGAGATTGCATCATCTGTGGATCTGTTGGGGCGGTATGCAAATTGGAGTGGGTCTAGGGTTTCTGGGATAATGGTGTTGATGTGAGCCATGACCAGCCTTTCAAAGCACTTCATGGCTACAGACGTGAGTGCTACAGGTCGGTAGTCATTTAGGCAGGTTATATTAGTGTCCTTGGGCACAAGGACTATGGTGGTCTGCTTGAAACATGTTGGTATTACAGACTCAGTCAGGGACATGTTGAAAATATCAGTGAAGACACTTGCCAGTTGGTCAGCACATGCTCGGAGTACACGTCCTGGTAATCCGTCTGGCCCTGCGACCTTGTGAATGTTGACCTGCTTAAAAGTTTTACTCACATCGGCTACGGAGAGCGTGATCACATAGTAATCCGGAACAGCTGGTGCTCTCATGCATGCTTCAGTGTTGCTTGCCTCGAAGCGAGCATAGAAGTGATTTAGCTCGTCTGGTAGGCTTGTGTCACTGGGCAGCTCGCGGCTGTGCTTCCCTTTGTAGTCTGTAATAGTTTTCAAGCCCTGCCACATCCGACGAGTGTCAGAGCCGGTGTGGTACGATTCAATCTTAGTCCGGTATTGACTCTTTGCCTGTTTGATGGTTCGTCGGAGGGCATAGCGGGATTTCTTATAAGCGTCCGGGTTAGAGTCCCGCTCCTTGAAAGCGGCAGCTCTACCCTTTAGCTCAGTGCGGATGTTGCCTGTAATCCATGGCTTCTGGTTGGGGTATGTACGTACGGTCACTGTGGGGACGACGTCATCAATGCACTTATTGATGAAGCCAGTGACTGATGTGGTGTACTCCTCAATGCTATCTGAAGAATCCCGGAACATATTCCAGTCTGTGCTAGCAAAACAGTCCTGTAGCTTAGCATCTGTTTCATCTGACCACTTTTTTATTAACCGAGTCACTGGTGCTTCCTGCTTTCGATTTTGCTTATAAGCAGGAATCAGGAGTATAGAGTTTTGGTCAGATTTGCCAAATGGAGGGCGAGGGAGAACTTTGTATTCGTCTCTGTGTGTGGAGTAAAGGTGGTCTAGAGTTTTTTTCCCTCTGGTTGCACATTTAACATGCTGGTAGAAATAATGTAGAACAGATTTAAGTTTCCCTGCATTAAAGTCCCTGGCCACTAGGAGCGCTGCCTCTGGATGAGCGTTTTCCTGTTTACTTATGGCCTTATACAGCTCATTGAGTGCAATCTTAATGCCAGCATCGGTTTGTGGTGGTAGATAGTACAGCTTATCATGAGATACTCATGAGATACTCTACCTCAGGCGAGCAAAACGTAGAGACTTCCTTAGTATTAGATTTTTTGCACCAGCTGTTGTTTACAAATATACACAGACCGCCACTCCTTGCCGGAGTCTGCCGTTCTACCCTGCCGATGTAGCGTATATCCCGTCAGCTGTATGTTGTCCATGTCGTCGTTCAGCCACGACTCGGTGAAACATAAGATATTACAGTTTTAATGTCCGTTGGTAGGATAACCGTAATCTTAGGTCGTCCAATTTGTTCTCAAATGATTGAACATTGGCTAATAGGATTGATGGAAGAGGCAGTTTACTCGCTCGCTGTCGGATCCTTACAATGCACCCTGACCTACGTCCACGATATCTCCGTCTCTTTCTCATGCGAATGACGGGGATTTGGGCCTTGTCGGGTGTCTGTAGGATATCCTTCGCGTCTGGGTCGTTGAAGAAAGAAACGTTGTCCAATACGAGGTGAGTAATCGCTGTCCTGATATCCAGAAGCTCTTTTTGGTCATAAGAGACGGTGGCAGAAACATTATGTACAGAATAAATTACAAATAACGCGAAAAAACACACATAATAGTACAATTGGTTAGAGGGCTGTAAAACGGCAGCCATCTTCTCCGGCGCCACTGGTAGCCATGCTGGTTAAGTGTGCCTTGAATTCTAAATAAATCACAGACAGTGTCACCAGCAAAGCACCCCAACACCATAACACCTCCTTCTCCATGCTTTACGGTGGGAACTACACATGCGGAGATCATCCGTTCACCCACACCGCGTCTCAAAAGACCAAAGGACAACTTTCCACCGGTCTAATGTCCATTGCTCGTGTTTCTTGGCCCAAGCAGGTCTCTTCTTCTTATTGGTGTCCTTTAGTAGTGGTTTCTTTGCAGCAATTCGACCATGAAGGCCTGATTCACACAGTCCCCTCTGAACAGTTGATGTTGAGATGAGTCTGTGACTTGAACTCTGTGAAGCATTTATTTTGGCTGCAATTTCTGAGGCGGTAACACTAATTAACTTATCCTCTGCAGCAGAGGTAACTCTGTGCTTCCATTCCTGTGGTGGTCCTCATGAGAGACAGTTTCATCATAGTGCTTTATGGTTTTTGCGACTGCACTTGAAGAAAAGTTCTTGACATTTTCCGTATTCAATGACCTTCATGTCTTAAAGTAATGATGAACTGTCGTTTCTCTTGCTTATTTGAGCTGTTCTTGTCATAATATGGACTTGGTCTTTTACCAAATAGGGCTATCTTCTGTATACCCCCCTACCTTGTCACAACACAATTGATTGGCTCAAACGCATAATGAAGGAAAGAAATTCTACAAATTAGCTTTTAAGAAGGCACACCTGTTAATTGAAATGCATTCCAGGTGACTACCTCATGAAGCTGGTTGAGAGAATGCCAAGAGTGTGCAAAGCTGTCATCAAGGCAAATGGTGGCTATTTGAAGAATCTCAAATATAAAATATATTTAGATTTGTTTAACACTTTTTTGGTTACTACATGATTCCATATGTGTTATTCCATAGTGTTGATGTCTTCACTATTATTCTACAATGTAAAAAATAGTACAAATAAAGAAAAACCCTTGAATGAGTAGGTGTGTCCAAACTTTTGACTGGTAGTGTATGTCTCTCTATTATGCGTGGGAATACTTGAGAACAGATTTCCAAAATGAAAACCCATTGGAGCTGATTTCCTGGTGTTTTTACAGTATTCTATGTCCAACAATGAAAATTCTGTAAAAAAGTGTAATAGTAATAATTTGCTCAGAAAACTTGGGGGGCCAAATAAAACCACCCGCTGGCCAAATTCGGGCTGCCAGTTGGGGAACCGTGCCCTAGACCAGGCCTGGGCAATTCCAGTCCTCGGGGGCCTGATTGGTGTCACACTTTTGCCCCAGCCCCAGCTAAACACCTGACTCCAATAATCAACTAATCATGATCTTCAGTTAAAAATGCAATTAGTTTAACTCAGCTGTGTTTGCTAGGGATGGGGCAAAAGTGTGACACCAATCAGGCCCCTGAGGACTGGAGTTGCCCAGCCCTGCCCTGCCCCAGACCAATGAGCCCTGCCGATCCTGATTGAGAAAAGCTTGGGTATTTTAATAGCCACCCATTACGCATTTTCAAAGACAGGGCTTGTTGGTCTGGGGGTATGGTTCTTGCTTTGGGTGTGAGAGGTCAAGGCTTCAAATCCTGGATGAGCCCTTCTTTTGAAAATTAGGGCTTTCAAGTCTGACCCCTTGCCACATTCACAGTGTGCTTCTAAACACTCCCACTTAACTCCTCCCTGGGCCCGGCGTTGACTTTACAGTGAGCTGCTCACTCCCTTTGACCCATGGATTCATGTGCTTCTCCAAGAGAGTGCAAGATAATGCATATTTTCATCCCATATCCAGCAGTTGTAAAGTTGCCAATGGGAACTGATATATTTAGCCTAGCATCCCAAGATGTATCCCACCATATACCATCACTGATCTACTGTTTGATATACTTTATACATTTTAGCCCAGGCAGCTCAAAGGTACAACGTCATACTAGTGCAGTTCTTTTTGTGGGTAGGCCTACATTTGTGCTGTATCATTGCAACCATGCTGATGTCAGGTCAGGTAGAGGTGAAGGATATCCATTTTCCAGCTAAATTGAACCTAATAATACCTGTGACACCTTAATGATAAGGTGCTGTGTCGCCAACCACCACTTTACACCAACTGGCATCTTCAAAGCTACACAAACAAAAACATTAAGGATTTGGCAGATGGAGTTGTTTCTGTTTCTTTGTATTTCCTAAAATTGGATCAAAGATAGGTAAACACACACACACACAATTTGCAGAACTGAATCAGAGCAAGAGGAACATCATGTCTGTTTTTACCTGTCATCATCTTTAATAAAATCTAGGATAACAGTGAGGCCAGGCTTGAACTGATTTGGCCATAAAACCACAGGGAACTCTCCATTTTTCCTCAGTATTCTTTGTGCCCAATGGCTGAACTATATTCTATTTGGCTCTGATTTCATAAATCCAATTGACATATGGGTTTTATCTTGTGGATGTGCCCCACAGCTAAACCCTTAACTCGACCTTATTGTGGCTATTTCTCAAACAGGACATTTTGGGTTTGAATAGCTGCAAGAACAAGCCAATATTTTCCTTATTATCCATTTGGTTGTAATGATTCCAGTATGACGGTGAGATCGATGAAAATAAAATGAAGGGTGAAGCGATAGAGAGAGTATACGATTTAGCAGGAGAAAGTGATTGTGAGATAGAGAGATGGAGAGAGAGGGAGGGAGTAAGTGGGAGCCACATCTCAGTCATGGAGGTGAGGATCAGAGTTCAAGCTAATCATTGACAAAATAATCACGCGTCTGCCTCAAAGGTGTGTGTGGGTGCGTGTGTTCCTGAGTGTATGAGTCAGTGTTTGTGAGTGTGGTTGTGCGTGTACAATGTACGTTATGTGTCAGAAAGCAGGAGGGGAGAGAAAAGGAGGGAGGGAGAGAGGGAGGTAGAGTGGGAGGTAAGGAAGTCCAACCAGGTTAGCCTGTCAGATGGATACTACACCCCTCCTGGGCTCCACATGTAGAAGTCTCATTCTCCTCTACTCGTTCACTTCAATCCCTTCATCTACTCTTCTATCATGGATCCCTCACCTTCTCAACATCTGGACCCCTGATACACAGGAACAGCCCCTCAGACAGAGACCAGCTTATTTATTCTGAAGGATTTTGGAAAACTCTGGAGAGTATCATTCTTCTTCTTCAGGCTCCAATATGGCAACATACCTTCTCTCTCTTCTCCTCTCCCTCTTCCTGACAGTGATGGTCTGGGGTGGGGCTTTCTGTTCTCTGGGGGAGGGCAGGAGGCAGTGGCAGCAGCCCTCCACCCCAGAGCCCTTCATCCAGAGCCAGTCCTTCCTCTATGGGACCTTCCCTCCAGGGTTCCTCTGGGGCACTGGGACCTCTGCCTTCCAGACTGAGGGGGCTTGGGATTGTGACGGCAAAGGCCCCTCAATCTGGGATCACTTCACTCACTCAGCCCCCCACCGAGGTGATGGAGGTGTCGCAGACATGGCCAGTGACGGCTACACCCGCTGGGAGGAGGACATTGAGGCGCTGGGGTACCTCGGGGTGCGCTCCTACATCTTCTCCCTCTCCTGGCCCCGACTCTTCCCCGATGGGGTTGCCACAGGTCGGCCCAATAGGGTGGCTGTGGAGCACTATGGGAGACTGCTCGACAGGCTCCTGGAGAGGGGAATTGAGCCGGTGGTCACCCTGTTCCACTGGGACCTTCCCCAGGCCCTGCAGGACCACTACGGGGGCTGGAGGAATGACACCCTGGTGGGGTTGTTTGACGCATATGCTGCCTTCTGTTTCCGAACATACGGTGGCCGTGTGAGGTACTGGATCACCATACACAACCCCTACCTGGTGGCTGTCCAGGGGTACGGGACGGGGATGCACGCGCCTGGAGAGACAGGCGATGCCACTGCCCCCTTCAATGTGGCCCACAACCTCATCAAGGTAAGTCAGGGTCAAGGGTTAAGGGTCAGAGGATGAAATTGCCCCTAGTCGTTGATCTTAGGTCAGTTTTGTGTTTTCCCTCCAATGGGAATGGTTAGGATTTCGGAATGAAAAGTTGTTCCTAGTTCTGTGTCAAAGGGCAATGACTATCTGTACCCATTTGGGAGAGGGGTCAGGGGGTTGTGTTGTAAATTAGAACCCTTTGGATAGATTGACTCGTGTGAAAGGGTCTGTTGAACAGACCATAGTACAGACTGAGACCCCGTTTAGTCAGACAGCCTGTCTATGAACTTCATACTTCTGTGGGTTTTATCAGCTGATGTGGTCAATGAATGTTTGCGTCTTTCATTGGGTTCAAGACATTGCAAAGAAAATGAGTGAAGACATAAAACTTTAATAGCCATGGTACATGCTGTGCTTTATTCAGTCAATCAGGTTAAACTAATCCAAATGGTTTTATGTTGTGATATTCAATATTCACTGTGCTCCTTCAGCAGCTATTAGCAGTCATTGACCTCTTGTTAAAAAGTGTGTTTACCTTCTGCTATGAGAGGTTTATTACAGCTGCAGTACTGTGATTAGTAAACAGGACACCTAAGGAGACACTGGGGGTCTGTGACAGCAGCAGTTTTGTGGCAGAAAGACCGGCAATGCAGCAAGATGACAGGATGTTAAGAAGGCTTCATTAATAATCAGTTATGTCCCAGTGCATATTCACACTGTACAGGTCCAATGTCTGTAGTATGTGCAATGTCTCTGCCATAATGCAGTGCATGTATAACTGACCTACATTTTATTTATTTATTTATTTTCATTTCCAGGCACATGCCAAAGCGTGGCACACCTATGACACCTTCTTCCGCCCGACTCAGAATGGTCAGGTGTCCATCGTCTTGGGTTCCCATTGGATGGTGCCTAAGAGAGGCCATGCCACACCAGTCAATATCGAGCTCTGCCAGCAGTCCATGGAGGCGGTGCTTGGCTGGTTCGCCAATCCCATCTTCGGGGATGGGGACTACCCAGCTTCCATGAGATCTACCCACAGGGGGCTTCTGCCTGAGTTCACCCCAGAGGAGAAGTCATGGGTGCGGGGAACGGCTGACTTCTTTTCCCTGTCCTTTGGGCCTAACAACCTGCGTCTGAGCCTGAGCCTGGCCCATTATGGGCAGATTGTGTCCCTGGACATGAGGTGGGTGCTGGGCTGGGTGAGGCTGGAGTATGGGGACCTGCCTGTGCTGGTGGTGGAGGGGGGCTGGTTCTCAGATGCAGCTGTGGAGAGGGAGGATACAGTGGCCATCTACCAGATGAAGAGGTTCATCAACCAGGTGCTGCAAGGTGAGGAGGGCGCAGGGAGGAGGGAGGAGGGGGCCAAGGAGGGGGCAGAGGAGGGGGCAGGATTAGGGAAAACAGAGGAGGTCAACAAGAGAGAGTACATTTGACTGACTTACCCTGTTACATACATTTAACCTCTGAACTGTTGTGCTATTTGTACTTCTGTGGTAACAGTGCATCCTCATCTCCTTCTCTCTGTGTTTGTTTGTATCCAGCCACAGTGTTTGACGGTGTCAGAGTGTTTGGCTACACAGCCTGGTCTCTGGTGGATGGTTTTGAGTGGAACTACGGCTACAGTGTGAGACGAGGTCTGTTCTACCTAGACTTCAGCCAGGCCAACAGAACCAGGGTTCCCAAGACCACCGCTCAGTTCTACAGGCAGGTCATCAAGGACAACGGTTTCCTCAGTGATGAGATCACCGGAGAGGTCAAAGGGCGTTTCCCATGTGACTTCCACTGGGGCATAGCCGACTCCACCCTACAGGTGAGGGGATGAGAAGGGGAAGAAATTAAAGAGAGAGGGAGGAGAAAGGAAAGAGAGATGGAGGAGAAAGGAAAGAGAGAGGGAGGAGAAAGGAAAGAGGGAGGAGAAAGGAAAGAGAGGGGGAGGAGAAAGGAAAGAGAGAGGGAGGCGCCAATTAACGCGCTTTATTTCCATTACCCTAGCCCGGTGTATGCGACCGTTCCCCTCTCGACTCTTTCGTCTCCCTTCCTCTCTTTCTTCTCCCTTCCCTCTGCGTTGTTATTCTCCCCTTCCCGCTCTTGTCTTCTCCCTTCCGCTCTCGTTCTCTCCTTTCCCTCTCTCCTTTCTCTCGCCAAGCCGTATCCGTGCTCCAGTATCGCCTGTGTCTTCGTAACCCTTGCCCGTCTGCTTTCTGTCTCCTTCCCTCTCATTGTCGTGCTCCTTCCCTCTCGCTTTGTCACACTTCGCTCGTCATCAAGCATACTCCGTTCGCCATACGACGTGCTGCGCCCGCACTGGCGAGATCTCCCCGTGCCGCTGCATGGTCGGCCCGCCCTCACTGATTTCGTGCGCCATTCCCGGCGTGACTGCGCCGTGCCCCCGGGGCGTTCCGCGGTCCCCGTTTAGCGTTCTCCCGTCCCGCCGTGTGCTCCCTTCCCGCTCGTCTTTAGTGCGCACCCGGCGGTCTGAGCTCGCCTTCATTCGACAGCGCGATCCGCCGTCTCAGTCCCTTGCCAGCGACGGTCTGCTCCCGCCTCTCGAAGTAAACGGATGACGTCGCTGTCGTGTCTGTCACGGCCTCAGCTGGGGCGATCGCAGGCCGCGCTGCTCAGAAGCCCGCGGGCGGATACTCCGTCTTGCTGGCCCAGCCACCGAGATTCGTTCGACCTCCCGGCTTTGCGGCCCTTCCCTGCGTGCTAGTCAACTGCCCCTGGACTGCTTGCTGGCGTACCCGTCTCAGGCAGACGGCCATCCTGGGTATACGTACCGCCTACCTCGTTGGTGGCTCCCCACGCACGTGGGGCAGCCCCATGCCCTCGTCTTATTTGCCGCTCCCGTGCACTTGCTCCCGCTCGCCTAGCGTCGCCCGTCCCGCCTCTTGCTCCGCCGTCCCGCACGTGGCACTCCCTTCGACGTTGCTTCCGATGCGGGACGCCCGCCGGCTTGACGACGTCACGCTGCGCCGCTCCACGTCTCTCCGCGCCGCAGGGGTCTTTTTTGCCTGCCCTGCCCTCTTCGCTTTCGGTTCGCGCCCTTCCCGCCTCGTGCTCTTCCCTGTCCCCCTGTCTCCCCTTCCCTCTTCTCGTCTCCCCTTCCCTCTCTCGTGTCTCCCTCCCTCTCTCTTTCTGCTGCCCTCCCTGCTCCGTCCTTCCCCGTCCCTCCGTCTGTGTTTCTCCCTCCCTCCTCTGTGTCATCCTTCCCTCGCGTTCTTCCCCGCCCTCGCGGTGATTTTATTTTGCACACTGCTCTCCCTTCTTCTCTTGATCTCGACAGAACAATCAGCAGCTAGATAATGCAACATATGAATATACACAAAAACTATATACTTTCTTCTTTTATCAAAGGTCCATTTCTATCCCTTCTCCCCTCAATTCACCGACCCCCACCTGTACAGCTGGAACCTGACAGGGGACGGGCAACTGCATCCTGCCAAGGGTCAGCTCCACATCAGGGGGCACATGTCACTGACTCCCTACCGGCCCATCATGTACCTGGGCCTCTTTGAGTCCACAGGGGCATCTCTCAATTACGCCCTCGGCCCTCAACCTGGTCCCAACATCCTGCCCCAAGGACATCTGTCTAATGTGGACACAGAGGCCCTGAGGTAGAGACACAAACTGTATAATGTGTATGTTTAACATACATGCACACATGCAAACACACACTAAAATGCATGCCTGTATGCATACACACACTTTACATTTCAAACTCTTTCTAACAGGTACTACCGCTGCTTCCTCACCGAGCTCCGCAAGCAGGGCCTGGAGGCTGTGGTCATCCTCTACTACCCCACTAACAGAGTCCCTCTGCTGGGCTTGCCCGGCCCGCTGCATGCCTCTGGCGGCTGGCTGAACCAGAGCACGGTGGAGGCCTTCCAGAGCTACGCAGCCCTCTGCTACAGGGAGCTGGGGCCCTGGGTGAGCTACTGGATTACCATCAATGAGCCCAACAGACTGGTGGATGCCTACAAGAGCGGAGAGGAGCAGCATCTGGCAGCCCATAACCTCCTCCTGGCCCACGCTAAGGCCTGGAGGCTCTATGAGAGGGAGTATCTCAGCCAACAGGGAGGACTGGTGTCCCTGGCCCTGCACGCAGACTGGGCAGAACCCGCCAACCCCTTCCTGGAGTCACATGCAACCGCCGCTCAGAGATTCCTGTTGTTTGAGCTTGGTCGTTTCCTAGACCCACTACTAGGGGGCAGAGAGGGGGAGGGTAAGAGTGGTAAGTACCCTCCAGAGGTGAGGAGGTACTTGGAGGAGAGGGCGAGGGTGATGGGCCTCCCTGGATCCCCACTACCGCACTTCACTGTCCAGGAAAAAGAGGAGCTAGGAGGGGCACTGGGCTTCATTGCACTGAACCACTTCACCACGCGTCTCGTGTCACCACGCCCCCATTCTCCTCAGACTTCCCCACCTAACCCCCAGCAACCTCAACCTCCAGACCATGACTGCCTGCTGATGTCTGACCACACCTGGGACTCCTCTGGTCTGGGGCAGGCGGTGGTCCCCTGGGGCCTCCGGAGGGTGCTGCGCTGGGTGAAGGAGCGGTATGGAGGAGCCCTGCCTATTGTAGTCACAGCCAGTGGGGTGGACGACCAGGCCGCTGTAAAGGATCTGCTCAGGCAGCACTACATCAGGAATTACCTGCAGGAGGCCCTCAAAGGTGAGCCTCTCTCTAACCTCCTCAAACTCCCTTCATACCCTCCAACTCCAGTCCAATGATAACCCACTAGTTTGTTCTTATCATAAATATCCTGGCGGTTCTATACTGATTTATATTGTTCGAAAATAAACAGACCTCTCTGCAGTTTCTGCTGCAGACAGGTAGAGTTGGGCACTCATTAGTTGCTTTAAGTATGAGAGGTCAAAGGTGACTTTTCTCACAGATCATTTCCTAACACACCACAGCACACGGCCTTATCACATGAGCCCCCTCATAAAACTCATGGACTTTACTGTATAAGGAACCTTTGAGATCATAATGTTAATCCCAGTGAGAACTGTCCTGTCCTGTACTGAACTAAACATCCTGTGCAGTACTTTAGCCACAATGTAGTTTCAATTGGTTTATGGCCCCACACAGGCTACATCTTCTCTGTTGACATTGCTTTTCTGTATGTAGAAAGAGGGATTCTGACCTCAATTCTCCCTGTTTTCGCTCCCCTCCAGCTCGTCAGTTGGATGGAGTCAACCTAAAGGGCTTCTACGTCTGGAAGCTGCAGGATCGACACGTCCCTCAGTTCGGCCTATTCACCTCTTCCCACCACCAGTCCCGACCCAAAGCCTCCATAGCAGCCTACAGAGAGATCATTGAGCGCAGCGGTTTCCCTGGCAACAACGTCACATCCTCCTGTAGGATCAACGACCTCAGGATGTTGTGTTCCATCTGTGCTCGCATCTCAGAGAACAAACTGCTGCTGTTCTTCGCTGCATGTCTCCTCCTTACATTAGCTATGCTGGTGGGGGTCATCATCATCATTGTCAGGAGGAAGAGGACTAGGAGGAGGAGGGTGGGCTTGCCAGTGTGTCCCGTCCTGCTCGGGAGGAAGTGTCAGCCGTGGGAGAGAGTGTCACTACAGAATGTGGAGGATAGGATCCGCGTGGTCCGCCGTTAGTCAGGGCCTCATTCATACTGGGGTTGTTCCTGTTGTAGTGGCCTGCGGGTTTTACACACCAGCCAAGCTTCTGGGAGAGCGCGATGGTCCCCTTTTGAGTAGTGGTTCTTAGGGACAGGTCTAGGATCAGCATACCCTCCCCAAAGCCTTGAACTTAGAGGAAAAACAAAAAACCTACTTTAGATCAGTGTCTAGGGGGCAACTTCATTATACTCCACAAGCCCACTGGGACTGTGCTCAACACAGCGGGATCAGCAAGGGCCAAGGGGTCATCTTTACCGAGTGACAAGTAGAGTCTGTCTGTCTGAGCCCTAGAGACCCCACATATTGATAATCAATGTATCGCCAATTAACATAATTGACAGTATGTAGCTTATACGTTATCACAGACAAGAATATGATGTAGCCATGGGACTGTTTTGTTGTTTTGTTGTCAGGAGTTGGCTATAACTTGAAATATTCTGTTAATGCTGCTATTGTGATGTACTGATCATGTATTGTGTACAAGACTGGCCTGTTAGTATGGCTTGTTGATGTGTGTCATTGTGTGTCCTGACCTGTCTTATAATTTGGTGGGTACTTATATTTGTCCTGTTTCACACGTGTACAAGTGTGAATTAATACATGTGAATTGAAAATGTTTTTTGTTTTTTTTGCATATCCCAACTCTCCTTGAGACACTCTCGGAGAGTCTATGTAGAATTGTAATAGGGAGTTCCTAGCATAGGGAGTCTGGATTGATGGCAGTAGTATTTTTGTCTCTGGGCTCTAGAGACAAAACCACTGGAACATGTTATGTACAGATGGCCAACTCAAGCACTTATTATAATGTATTATTGTCAATGATTGTGCAACATTTTTGTGAAGATGATGTGCAATGTTTGCTGAGTTCAAAACATTTTACTCTGTAAATGAATCCAAAATCATTTGTTATATATTAAATAAAATGAAATTCAACTGTAATTTTCAGCTCCCCTTTTATTCTGTCTGCTGTAGAAGCTTTGCTGTGCCAGAAGTTGCTGCTCTATGTGGGCACTGTTTCCTTCAGACACTGCTGCCCTCTAGTGGGGTTCTAATGTCCCAAAACTAGTTCAGGGCCCTTGATAAGAAAACAGAGAGTGAGAGAATGAGAGAGAGAATTGAGAGAGAATTGAGAGAGAGAGAATTGAATTGAGCGAGAGAGAATTGAATTGAGAGAGAGAGACATTTAGACCCAACCAAATCACGAGAAAACAAAAAGAGAATTACTTGACACATTGGAAAGAATTAACAAAAAAATTGAGCAAACTAGAATGCTTTTTGGCCCTAAACAGAGAGTATCTGACCACTGTGACTGACCCAAACTTAAGGAAAGCTTTGACTATGTACAGACTCAGTGAGCATAGCCTTGCTATTGAGAAAGGCCACCGTAGGCAGACCTGGCTCTCAAGAGAAGACAGGCTATGTGCACACTTCCCACAAAATGAGGTGGAAACTGAGCTGCACTTCCTAACCTCCTGCCAAATATATGACCATTTTAGAGACACATATTTCCCTCAGATTACACAGATCCACAAAGAATTTGAAAACAAACCCAATTTTGATAAACTCCCATATCTACTGGGTGAAATACCACTGTGTGCCATCACAGCAGCAAGATTTGTGACCTGTTGCCACAAGAAAAGGGCAACCAGTGAAGAACAAACACCATTGTAAATACAACCCATATTTATGTTTATTTATTTTCCCATTTGTACAGAACTATTTGCACATTGTTACAGCACTGTATACAGTGAGGGAAAAAAGTATTTGATCCCCTGCTGATTTTGTACGTTTGCCCACTGACAAAGACATGATCAGTCTATAATTTTAATGGTAGGTTTATTTGAACAGTGAGAGACAGAATAACAACAACAAAATCCAGAAAAATGCATGTCAAAAATGTTATACATTGATTAGCATTTTAATGAGGGAAATAAATATTTGACCCCTCTGCAAAACATGACTTAGTACTTGGTGGCAAAACCCTTGTTGGCAATCACAGAGGTCAGACGTTTCTTGTAGTTAGCCACCAGGTTTGCACACATCTCAGGAGGAATTTTGTCCCACTCCTCTTTGCAGATCTTCTCCAAGTCATTAAGGTTTCGAGGCTGACGTTTGGCAACTTGTACCTTCAGCTCCCTCCACAGATTTTCTATGGGATTAAGGTCTGCAGACTGGCTAGGCCATTCCAGGACCTTAATATGCATCTTCTTGAGCCACTCCTTTGTTGCCTTGGCCGTGTGTTTTGGGTCATTGTCATGCTGGAATACCCATCCACGACCCATTTTCAATGCCCTGGCTGAGGGAAGGAGTTTCTCACCCAAGATTTGACGGTGCATGGCCCCGTCCATCGTCCCTTTGATGCAGTGAAGTTGTCCTGTCCCCTTAGCAGAAAAACACTTCCTTAGCATAATGTTTCCACCTCCATGCTTGACGGTGGGGATGGTGTTCTTGGGGTCATAGGCAGCATTCCTCCTCCTCCAAACACGGCGAGTTGAGTTGATGCCAAAGAGCTCGATTTTGGTCTCATCTGACCACAACAATTTCACCCAGTTCTCCTCTGAATCATTCAGATGTTCATTGGCAAACTTCAGACGGGCCTGTATATGTGCTTTCTTGAGCAGGGGGACCTTGCGGGTGCTGCAGGATTTCAGTCCTTCACGGCGTAGTGTGTTACCAATTGTTTTCTTGGTGATTATGATCCCAGCTGCCTTGAGATCATTGACAAGATCCTCCCGTGTAGTTCTGGGCTGATTCCTCACCGTTCTCATGATCATTGCAACTCCACGAGGTGAGATCTTGCATGGAGCCCCAGGCCGAGGGAGATTGACAGTTCTTTTGTGTTTCTTCCATTTGCGAATAATCGCACCAACTGTTGTCACCTTCTCACCAAGCTGCTTGGCGATGGTCTTGTAGCCCATTCCAGCCTTGTGTAGGTCTACAATCTTGTTCCTGACATCTTTGGAGAGCTCTTTGGTCTTGGCCATGGTGGAGAGTTTGGAATCTGATTGATTGATTACTTCTGTGGACAGGTGTCTTTTATACAGGTAACAAGCTGAGATTAGGAGCACTCCCTTTAAGAGTGTGCTCCTAATCTCAGCTCGTTACCTGTATAAAAGACACCTGGGAGCCAGAAATCTTTCTGATTGAGAGGGGGTCAAATACTTATTTCCCTCATTAAAATGCTAATCAATTTATAACATTTTTGACATGCGTTTTTCTGGATTTTTTTGTTGTTATTCTGTCTCTCACTGTTCAAATAAACCTACCATTAAAATTATAGACTGATCATTTCTTTGTCAGTGGGCAAACGTACAAAATCAGCAGGGGATCAAATACTTTTTTCCCTCACTGTATATACATAATATAACATTTGAAATGTCTTTATTCTTTTGGAACTTCTGAGTGTAATGTTTAATGTTAATTTTTATTGTTTATTTCACTTTTGTTTATTATCTACTTCACTTGCTTTGGCAATGTTAACATGTTTCCCATGCCAATAAAGCCCTTACATTGAATTTAAATTGAATTGAAGAGATAGATATCGAGAGAGAGATATATATTCGAGAGGAAGAGAGAGAGAGAGAGAGCTAGCGACGAGAGAGACTTGAATTGCTTGCTCGCTCACGGGAGATACAGATTCCAACCCTGCTAAGGCGCTCTAGTCCATCGAGCATCCCTTCTATCGATCTTAGAAAGAGATCGCCGCTTACATAATACCGGCTGAAAAGGTCAAAATATTCAGAGTCAGAGTAGAGCAGCGTTTCCCGAACTAGGGGTCGCAACCCCATGTGGGGTCACCTATTTCAAAATGGGTCACGAGAATCGGGGTTATGTCAGTAACCTCCGGTAGCCGCTAGATGCGGTTGTAATAAATAATAGCGTTTTATGTTTTCTTCCTACAAATGTGGCTCTATCTTTTGAATCGTTTAAGCTACAAAATATTATGACACCATCACTGAAAGATAAGACTCTCAGGAACAAATTATTTTTTAATCTTCAACATAGGAATGCTACCAAAAAGAACTTAATGAAACTGGTTACAATTGACGGAGTCACCCATAATTCACCAAATGATATTTTGAAGGAAGAAACAAAGTACTTTAAGCGTATGTTTTCTTTTCAGTTGCCTCCATCTCCTCTAACTGAAGCTAATTGTAGAGAATTTTTTTCTACTGATAATGTCAAATTAACAGCCACACAGAAAGACTCATGTGAAGGTGAAATTACAGAGGAGGAACTTCTGGATGCAATTAAAGACTTTAAGTCTGGGAAAACTCCAGGGTTGGATGGCATACCAGTCGAGGTATACCAAACCTTTTTTGATATACTAAGAGGACCGTTATTAGCATGTTTTAACCACTCCTATGTAAATGGTAGATTATCTGACACTCAAGAAGAAGGTCTGATCTCATTATTACTGAAACAGGATACAAGTGGAAAATATAAAGATCCAGTCCATTTACAAAATTGGAGGCCCCTTACACTTCAGTGTTGTGATGCAAAAATCCTAGCAAAATGTATAGCGCATAGAATTAAAAAGGTATTGTCGGATATTATTCATTCTAATCAGACAGGTTTTTTACATGGAAGATACATTGGAGATAATATAAGGCAAGTATTGGAAACAATAGAACACTATGGAAAATATGGGAAACCAGGCCTGCTATTCATAGCAAACTTCGAAAAGGCATTTGATAAAGTTCGACTGGGGTTTATATATAAATGCCTGGAGCATTTCCATTTTGGAGAATCTCTTATAAAATGGGTCAAAATCATGTATAGTAACTCAGAAAGTTTTAAACTGTCAAGAGGAGTGAAACAAGGTTGTCCACTATCGGCATATCTATTTATTGTGGCCATCGAGATGTTAGCTATTAAAATCAGATCCAATAATAATATCAGAGGACTAGAAATCCAGGGCTTAAAAACAAAGGTGTCATTGTACGCTGATGATTCATGTTTTCTTTTAA